TTGAAATTAAAATATATCCTGAAAAAAATAGGTTAATCAAATTATTATCTATGAAATAGGACATTTTAACATACTATTTATATTATATACAATTTAAATTTATTAGGAGTCAGAGTCAGTACATTTTTACCAACTCTGATTCCAGTAACCCAAGAATTGCTTCCGACTCCACGTCTCTAACTCCACAGCCCTGTATGTGACTTCTCTTTTTCTGTTTTCAGTGTCATCAAATCGGTTTTCTGCTAAGGTAAGATGAAATGCCCTTCTCTTTTCTAGGCTCCATTGTGGGTGGAGCAGTTGGGGGGGTTAAATCGCACTGATTTGGTCCCATGGGTGGCTGTCACCTGAACACACCTCTCCTCTGCCCCTCCTCCTAGCCTCTTAAGAGCCAGTGAGAAATAGTAAAAAAAGAACTACCATAAAACGGTAGGCACGTGTATGTCTTAACTGATATAAAATCTTAGCACAAAATTCCAGCCGACGAACAGACGTTAAAACAGGAACCAACCCTGTGTAGCCGGTTGCTAACTCCATCACAGAGAAAAGGTAGTCTTTATCTTGCATAAGGAGGCAGATAGAAATTGGACATGATCATTGACCTGTCCTAAAGTAACAACTCTGGGTTTTAGGAGGCATTTGGGACAAAAATCTTTCCTTCTCCTCACCTCTCCTCCATCATATTATTGTAGCTATAACCTGTTTCCTTAATAACTTCCTTTGGGTCAAGTCACTTTGGCTGTTACCACATGAGGTGCTTCTCAGTGTTGGACTTAACCATGGTTTATTCAGCCCAGTTTTCTGGATTCCCACCACTTGGTAAGCTAGGGTTGGCTAATTTGCAGTTCAGAGTGTCACATAAACAGTCTCTTGGGCAGTGGACAACCAAACTCTTTTAGCCAAGCGTGTTTCCAGAACAATGTTGAGACATTCTGGACCTCAGTTTTATAATCTAGAAATGCATCGAAGAGGAAAAGAAATTGTGAGGGAAGAGGATTACAATCAGTCAGTTGCAAGTTTTAATTAGAAAAAAAACCTGGCTGAAATGGAAATAGTACACAAAGAAAAAAGCCCAATATTCTCAGTATTTCTGCTGAACTGATGCACTGGGCCCTACTATCCCGTTTCACATGCTGTCTCTCTCTCCACTGTGGCCTGAAGGAATGGTTATTGCCAGATTGATCAGCTGAACTGGAACCGATTTCTGAAGAAAGTTTCTCTCTCTCTTCTCTTCTCTTCTCTTCTCTTCTCTTCTCTTCTCTTCTCTTCTCTTCTCTTCCTCTCTCTCTCTGTGAACTGTGGGCAGGAAGGAGCAGCAGAGGCAAATTCTTTCTGGAGCAAGCTCCTTCTGAAAGTCTCCCAGTGTTGGCATCAGCTTTTCTGGGCTTACCATGATCCCACAGCCTTGTTGCAGTTCTACAGCATCTGGGGACCTCACATATATTGCCATCAATGAAAGAAAGGCAGATGCCAACACATTCTGTGGGAGTTTGGTTGGGGCAACAGAGAAGCATTTTGAGGGAACACCAGTGAGTTGTAACCCTCTTTTGTGTGAAAACTTCCTGTCTGCCTTACCCCAATCTTGAAGTAGGATGCCAGTTCCAACCCTACTCATACTTATCCCTCACCAAATTTCCTCTTAAAAATTCATGACTCGTTTGTCTTTCAAGTATGTCACACCTAATCCAATTCCTCCTCTATCCAGGAGGCTTACCGGCTGATCTACCGTACCTACCTCAGTGAAGGCTTCTTCAGCCTATGGCGAGGGAACTCGGCCACCATGGTTCGGGTGATCCCCTACGCTGCCATCCAGTTCTGCGCACATGAGGAGTATAAGCAGCTTTTGGGCAGCTACTATGGCTACCAGGGAAAGTAAGTGGCTGTGGAGTCTTGGTCTCCTTAAAAGACTTGGCTTGAGCATGTGGGCAAGGCATTACCTGCTGTGGTTGCACTAAGGATCAGCATACCCCTGCCCTCGTCCCCAAGGTGGATGACCCTGACCTTTCCAGCCTTTAGGGAGGCCTTGAAGACCTGCTTCTTCCCCAGGCACTGGGCCAGGATACTACGTGAGCCCAATTTTAGTGGTCTGTTATATGAGTTAGTTGCCCTGGTACTGTATGTTTTATTGATTTTTTAAATTTGTACTGTGATGTTTTAACTCTGTAAGCTACTCAGAGTTGTTTGATGAGCAGGCAGTCATAAAAATTAAATAAAATTAAAGTTAAAATGAATTAACAAATAGACAAAGATGCCTTTCTTTAAAGTCACACCAAGGCTGAATTAGCACAGGCTGCTTGACCAGGTTACTTAAAAGCCTCATTACTGTATCAGAACAATTTATTAAGCTGGGTTAGTCTTGCTGTTTCGGTTTGTGTGTGTGTGCAATTTAGCGTGTTGCATGAATACAGCTTGTTAAATCAATTAATTCAGTTACTGGCCATACCCAAAACTTGGGTTAATCCAGTAGCCTTGTTACATTATCCCAGCCTATTGGTTTTGCTAACTGTCTGGACAGTATGACAGTATTCACAGAACCTACCATGGCCTATTGACTCTTTATGAACCATATTGGCCATGTGGGTCTTATGGAGTTACAGTCTTTGCCTAGTCATTGTGGTTTATAAATTTTGATTTATTGCTTAATCTGATGTATGAACCCAGCCAATTGTACTTTTGTGCCAAGTGAACACAGCCAGAGTTTTGGAATGAGCAATGTTCAGTTTGGAAGCCTTTTTTGCCCAGTCTGAGTTGTGTTTTGGGTTTAGTTAGCCAACAGCCAAGGAAATTCTTCCTTTCAAATATTTCTTTTGTTTCAGGGCACTGACTCCTCTGCCCAGATTCCTCGCAGGCTCTCTTGCGGGAATCACAGCTGCCATGTTGACGTACCCCCTGGACCTGGTCCGTGCCCGTATGGCAGTAACACCGAAGGAAATGTAAGTAGTTGGGGATTTGATCCCCATGTCGTTAGGAAGGGGTATGAAGTGTATTCTTTAACTATCATTGTTCCTTAAAACCTATATAGTGGAAGGTTGGAATGCAACACTCATCCAAGTGAATGTTGTTGCTTCTATCACGTTTCAAGCCAAGAAAGGTTTGTCAGTTACCCCAAAAAGGGATAATTTCTTCTGCAAGGATTCCTGCCACTCCAGTACTGTGATTGGTTCAATAATGCACTCAACCATAAAATGGTTTGCTTGTTCATAATTTATTCAGTGAACCCAGCCAAGTGGCTGATTAATGGCTTAACGTGTTGTGTGCAATCAGACAGTAACAGCTTACTCAACAAATTGTGCAGCTTAGAACATCATGTGAAGGCATATTCTTCCATTTAGTAGAGGTTTTGCAGGTCATTGATAGAGCATAGACACTAACCTTTTGGAGGCCCTTCTATCTGGGGTGGGTGTGTCATGTGATGAAATGTGCATTGTCACTCATGAAGCAGACCCTGTGACCAGCTTGCAGCCAGTTTATGACTTGAGTTTAAAAGGACAGGGTTTGCATCATGATATTGTGAAGGATGTTTTGTCATATTTTTGTCATTGTGGTTAGTAGATCCCTAAGATACCTCCTTAAAAAAAGTGGGGGATGGGTTGCTGGCTTAGTGGAAGATTCTTCTTGGAAAACCACTGGCAGTCAATATAAATCCTATCAGCTCCAGAGGATATGGCCAACTGTCAGGAGCACCCATGTCAAGTCCTCGTCTAAAAGAGAATGTATGTTTTGAGACATCTCCTGCTCAGAGGGTAGTAGTACAACATGGGAGAAACCATCCTTCAGAAAACGGAGAGCTTGGTCTACTTGATCAATTCCCATCTATGTGTCAAATCAATCAGGTCTGCAGTGTGGGCTTCCTTGATCAGCAATTGGCTAGACTTATCTTTTTCCCCTCCTTAAAAGCTACCAAGTATTTCCCAATGTCTAAAATAGCACACACCTTAAGGAGAATATGGGCCCTGGTGAGTGCAAAGAAGTTGTCAATCCATCTGGGCCACAATTGCAATGTGTTGCATGTATGAAGAATTCTCTTTGATGTTTCCCTCAGGACTATGTGGCTCTGTCATGTTCTCTTTCAGTCAAAGCCAACCTTGTGTCTGAAAACTATTTTTAATGACTTGCCAACTTCCTTTTTTCCCTCAGCTTTTTTGGGGGTTCCAAACTATTAATATGCAAAACTCTAAAATCCCGGGAGATTGAGTGCAGTTACCGATATGTACTCAAACTGTACTCTTATATGGTACTGTTCCAGGACAAAGTTTATGAAGCAGGGAATAAGGAAGGAGGATAAAGTAGCAACAGTTAGCCATGAAAGCCAAGTAGCCTTATCTCTGAACACCAGTTGCTGAGGGAAAAAAGGGTTTGGTTTCTTCACAGCCTGCCTGTAGATCTTCAGAGGCATCAAGTTAATGAAAAACCTGTGAGCAAAATGCAGTGTGATGTAGTTTTGTTGGGATTGTGATTTTATTAGCACTGGAGAGCTAAGTGGTTGGTTTGATAATGAAAACGTTTATGTTCTGTAGACTAGGCCTGTTGTTAGATACTAGCAGTAGACTCTGTGAGTGATTTGGGCCACCATATTTTCATTACTGGAGTGAACCAAGAATAAGCAGCGTAGTTCCTTCAGACATCTTTGTTGATACCTGTGACCCATCCGGCCTTTCCTTAATTTCTTTTTAGATTTCATTAAAAAGTAGAAAGTTAACATACTGCAAAGCAACCATCAGCTCTCAGCATCATTTTCATTTCTAAAAAATCATCTGGGTGATATATAGGCTCCAGAGACATTCTAGAAAATAAAAATGGCCAGTAGCTATGGTGCAGTGCTTTGCTTGGAAGTGTGCTCACCTGCCTGGATAAAAGCTCAGTGTAAGCTGGAATAGTGGTGGTTATGGGTGGCAGTGAGCAGCTTCTCCAGTTTGCTTTCAGATAATGGATGCTTTGTGGTTGGCCACATTCCCCCATGGCAGCCATCTTGTGAGAGCACTCACAAAAGTCATCTTGTGAGAGCACTCACAAAATGGGTTTACCTTAATATAAACAAAGATGACAAACATGGACAGCCTGCCAACACATTAAGTTCCCCACCCCTGGGAGAATCCGTAAGATAGCAGCACACAGGGGCAGCCATAGCATCTTAGGACTTCCTCCCTCCAAACTTCTTTCTTCTTTGCGTTGATGTATCAGGATTCTAGTACAAAATGTAGCCTATTCCATTTTTCATTGGCAGGTATAGCAACATAATTCATGTATTTATTCGGATATCTCAGGAGGAAGGGTTGAAGACCCTATATAGGGGCTTCTCACCCACCATCCTGGGGGTGATCCCTTATGCTGGATTGAGCTTCTTCACTTATGAGACACTAAAGAAACTGCATGCAGGTAAGGGCAATCAAGCTGATATGAATATATTCAGAATAATACGGTTCCTTCTGTTTTAATGTGCATCTTCTTAAATTTATTATTTTTAAAAAACTGCTTGGTGTTCCAAATAATTCAGCTAGGCTACAGTGAGGCTGGGTAGTTTGTGATTCATGTGTTGTGGGAATCCAAACATTGTTGGGAGGTATTTTCTCATCAGGCACGATGTTAAAACTTAAGATTATCCAGCAAAATTGACAGGCAAGTGATTTTGGACAAAGCATGTCATTTAAGCATCATTATTAAAGGAATTCTTTGTGTTAGATGTGATATGAACAGATCCTTATAGGAACAAGTCCTATAAGGAACAGATAAATGAAATGTTCAGCTTAATTGTAAAAGAGAAAACTAAGGAAATATGATAGTGGTCTAGAAATACCTTATAGGCTGTCACACAAACAAGAGAAGGCAGATTTGTTCTCTGCTGAAACCAAGGATAGGATAAGGATGAAGACCAAGGAGTTCAAATTAAAAAAAGGAGGTTCAGATTGAAGATTAGGAAGACTTTCCCAACAGCAAGAACTGCAAGGCAGTGGAACTGCCTGCCTTAAACAGTAGTAAGCTCCTGCTTGTCTGAGATTTCAAACAGGGCTTGGTGCCCACTGGCCAGTTATGGTTTAGTGCAGTTGTTTTAAGATGTGTGGACTTCAACTTCCAGAATTCCCCAGTCAGTATGCTGGCTGGGGGATTCTGGGAGTTGAAGTCCACACAGCTTAAAGTGACCAAGGTTGAGAAACACTGCTCTAAAGCCTCTTCCAGGTCATATTCTGTAGGATTCTATTATAGACTAGGCTAGTCCTTCAGCTGAATCATATGCAGCCATGCATATGGCTCACTTATTTGCCACTTTTTTTATTTTCTAGCCCCCAAGTTTCCTTCAGAGAGCTTAGGGTAGGCAGCCTGGTTTCTTCACATGGAGGATAAAGTCACCCAGTGAATGCTGCGGCTGAAAATGGGAATGTATACCTGGGATTTCCTGCTCCTGATATGCCAAACCACCTCACCATGCTGGATCATTGTTGGTTCACATGGAAAGCTTATATTGTGAAGGGAGAGGGTCTCTGTAATATTTGAGCTCTTCAGCCCAGTGCTGGCCACAAGAATTCCTTAGAATCTGCCTCCCCAGGAACACTACAGTGCCTCCTTTTCTTTCTCCTTCCCAGATCACAGCGGGAGGAGAGAACCCTATCCTGTGGAAAGGCTTGTTTTTGGGGCTTGCGCAGGCCTGATTGGGCAGTCAGCCTCTTATCCTCTGGACGTGGTCCGTCGACGGATGCAGACAGCGGGGGTGATGGGGTTCTCTTACGGGTCTATCATCCTCACCATGAGGGACATCATTCGGGAAGAGGGACTCGTCCGAGGCTTGTACAAAGGGCTCAGCATGAACTGGGTCAAGGGTCCCATTGCAGTAGGCATCAGCTTCACCACATTTGATCTCATGCAGATTCTCCTCCGTAAATGGGAGCACAGCATGAACGTGGAGAGGTAACGCCAAACCTCAGCCCCGGCTCAGGTTACTTGTGGAGAGGGAGTGACCACCATGGTGGTGCGAGTGCTGGCTAGCGAGGATGGACATCCTCCTTTTTTAATCCCCTTCCCTGACCCCAGATGAGGTTCTTGTGGCAGACCTCCGAATTGACCTCGGAGAACTGAGTTTCAGACAGACTCCTCTAACTGTGGCCATCTCCTGTTTTCCAGATGATGAATGCGCAAAGAAATAATAGTAGAAATCAGTGCAGAATTTTCACTGTTTTTAAGATGTGATCTAAACACCCCTGAATTCTCTGAATAGGGGAGCAAAAGGGATTCTTTCCCTGCTGGCCTCATATCAGAAGGCAGTAGCTGATGTGGTTTCATTTGTATCACCTTTTTTTGAATTCCCCCCTTTAAAAAACAAAAAATTGCCCATCAGCTCTCCTTGCATACAATTACCTCTTGGAAGAGCAATGCCAAATTGAGGTGGGAATCTTTTTCCATAGAGCTGACTAAAAAAAAGGGACCTTTCCTCTGGCATTTTTGTTGCTGGAAACCAGGAGGTTCCTGGCTGGGAAACTCAATCTCGAATCAACAGTGTTTGCATTGTTGCTTTCCAGAGCAGCATTTAAATAAAGGATTTTGTGTTTTGTTTTGTTTTAAAAACCAACCACCGCAGGGTTTTTGCTTTCCATTGGAGATGGTACACTCTGGGGAAAACATTACCAGCGCACAGTGTTAACTGGAAACTCTTGCCATCCTGAAACGCTATCCGGTTCATTCCTTCAGTATTATCCATAGTATTATCCGCAGTGGGGAAGGAAGGGAGTGGATCTCTTAAATGCCTGGTTGAATGGAAGGAACTTCAAGGGTTGATGAGCTGCTGAGGATCTCCTCTCCCCCTTTAGTATGAACCTGCTGGGTTCTCAGATTAGATGAAGAGCACTCTGGCTCAGTTGGCCTGAACCCTCAAAGCCTAGTGCATTTTTAAGATCTTATTTGCTTGAAGTTGGAGGAAACACACCTGTTGGCAAAACCAGCAGCCTCATGGTATAGCCTCACTTTCCTGAATGGTCTCAATTTTCCTGCCTCGTTTCATTTGCTGCTGCTTGTCAGAGTGGGAAATATCATAGTGCCATGTTGGGCAGACTTCATGTGGCAGCTATGTATTTTCTGTGTTTAAGTCAGGCCTCTTTGGATAGCTTTTTGCTGAATTGCTTCTGCTATTTTCTCTTGCCTGTTTTCTGCTTCACAACTTTAATGCCCCTTCTATCTTGGGGAAAATGCAACAGATTACCCAGATGTGATTCTCAAGCCCTTACCTTTCTCCTAAAAGAAGAAAGAAGGAATGGTATATGTTAAAGCAAAAAGAAAAAAAGGGGGGGGGTCTGTGTGGTAGGGCTGAAAGACACTCTGTTGTGAACTAACATGGATCCTTTCTCACATTTTGTACAACAGACTGGAAACTGACTTCTGACATTTCGTGGGCCACAAAATATTTTGTGGTTATCTATATGCACTACAGCCCTCCACACACAGCGTCCCAATTGTTCTTTATATTATCCTAGAAATTCTGTAACCTCAGTTGTTGGATTCTCTGCGATATCACTAATTGAATTGGCTTCTGCAAGGGGGCTCAGAAGCTAACTGAAGCTTTGTCGTCAGTTTTCTGCATTTGAAATGGTGTAAGCACCCCACCCCGAGAAACCTTAGTTTTAAGATGCAGAATCCAGAATGTGGTGTGTAGGTGTTGTGTACACAGGACATGTTGACTGTGAAGGAAGCGACAGGGTTGGCTTAATGGAATTCAAGGCTTATCTGCCAACATACACCAGTCAAATCACAAATCAGTAAATGTGAAAGATGTCTCAAATTGAGACTAATATAACTCAACTCTTGGGAGAATGCTTTTCTCGCAATTTCAGAAATTTTTAGATGTCCCCCTCCCTTCTGCTGCTGAAGATTGGTTGCCAATCTAGCTTGTTTTTAAAAAAAAAACACAAAAACCAAGCTGCTTCATATACTTAACATTGCACCCCTTATCCTATGGTCTGTTTTCCAACAATCTTGTGCTATTCTTGCGTAGAGCCTTCTGGCGTCCTCCAGAAACATTAAGATGCTGTCACCCACCATCCCCCGGTCATTGTAATCAAATCAAATTCATTGGGGGAGTATTGGACATCAAGTTGGAGAAGCCTGCTGTAATAGAGATTAGTCACCTATTTGGGGGGAGCCAGTGTGCGCCTACCTCCTGTCCCTAACGTAACTCAGCTGGAGAACCTCACCAGGGCAACTTCTGCAGTGTTTTTTTCTCCCATCTGCACATTCCCAGAGTAGAGAGGCTAGAGCA